TTTTTTTTTCAACGTTTATTTATTTTTGGGACAGAGAGAGACAGAGCATGAACGGGGGAGGGGCAGAGAGAGAGGGAGACACAGAATCGGAAACAGGCTCCAGGCTCTGAGCCATCAGCCCAGAGCCTGACACGGGGCTCGAACTCACGGACCGCGAGATCGTGACCTGGCTGAAGTCGGACGCTTAACCGACTGCGCCACCCAGGCGCCCCTCAATGTATCTTTCAATGGGATACCACTTAACCCATAACAATCTGCCCTCTGGCCCCCCAAATTCATGCCCTTCTTATATGCAAAGTACATTCACACTATCCCTATATTCCCCAAAGTCTTAACCATTCCAGCATCTAAATCCCGTCAAGTCAGGCTCGGATCTCTACTCCTTTCTGTGCCCAAGGCTGCACGGGGGACACACTCAGGGAAAGCCTGGTGGAGAGTACAGAATCCTACACCGATTCCAGGAGCCAGCTTCTGTGCCACTCTGCTTCGGTGCAGCGTAGAGCAACCACTGCCACCACCACCACTACCAGCATTTACTCACGTCCTCACTGCTCACTGCCCTTCTGCGGACGCTGCTCTTGGGATCCTGCAGGGTGTCAATCAGACCAGGATTGGAATCCCCGAGCCTGGAGGGAGGCGTAAGACAGAAACTCATGATCAGGATAAAACGGAAAACTTGGCTCCTTCCTTCGAGATGCTTATCACAGTGATCTGTGATTGTTTACCTAAAACAGCCTGAAAAATGCAGGAGATTGCATTTTGTAAAACAAAGTGAAACTGTTTCTCCGGACTTTTTGTTTCTTGTTACAGAGACTCCATGTCCCTAGACAGAACTGAAAAGTGTTTTTCATTACAAGTCTGGGATTTGGACACAAACTGAGCAAAATTAACAAAACAAAACAAAACAAAAAAAAACATCTGTAGGATCTGTAATGATGTCACCTCTCGTTTCTGATCTTGGTAATTTGTACCTTCTCACTCTTTTTTTTTCCAGGTCGGTTTAACTAGGGTTTATACATTTTATCAGCCTTCTCAAAGGACCAGTTTTTTATTTAACTGTTTTTCTCTATTGTTTTCTGTTTTCTACCTCACTGATTTCCACTCTGATTCTTTCTTTTCCGCTGCTTACTTTGGCTTTGCCTTTGTCCGGTTTCTTAAAGTAGAAGGTGAAGTCAATAACTGACCTTCCCTTTGTCCTTAAATTTTTTTTTGTCTCAAGCAGCTTTGTTGAGACATGATTTGCACACCATGTAATTCACTCTTTTAAAGTATATCCTTCTGTGGTTTTTAGGATGTTCAGAGATGTGTACCACCATGACTATAATTAGTTTTAGGACATTTTCGTCACCCCCAGAAGAAACCCCATACCCATTAGCTCTCACCTCCAGCTCCTGGCATCCACTAAACTACGTCTCATCTCTATTGATTTCCCTATCTGGGACATTTCATATAAATGGGACCATATAATATTCTGTCTTTTGTGACTGGCCCCCTTTACTTGGCAGAATGTCTTAAAGATTCAACCATTTTGCAGCATGTATCAGTGTTTCATTCTTTTTTATGGCTGAGAATATTCCATTATATTCTATCTTAGGGGTCTAGCCCATTTGTTCATCCATTCGCCACTCCACGGACATTTGGGTTGTTTCCACATTTTGCTATTATGAATCAGGCTGCTATAAAGGTTCACGTGCATGTTTTTATGTGGACGCATTCGCATTTCTCTGGGGCATACCCTGAGGAGTAGAATTGCTGGGTTGCACAGGAACTCTGTTTTATAGGTGAGGCACCACCTGACTGCTTTCCAGAGCAGCTGTGCACCACTTACGTGCCCACCAGCAGTGCGTGAAGGCTCTGATTTCCCCACACCCTTGCCAACGCTTGCCGTTACCTGACATTTTGATTGTAGATATTCTGGCACTGCCCGGAATAACAGCTTCAACAGCTGCTGCTAAGCACCTGCAGGGAAATGCCGTCTTTCTTCTTTAAGGAGCTCCTGGCATTGTCTCTTCTTGCTGTGCCTTCCCCTTATCTCTCTCCAGATGGCTGTTCTCACAGAGTCCTTCCCCCTGCTGGCCCTCGAGGGTGGCTCCAAATCTTTTATCCTTTATCATGTGCTGTGAGTGTCAACACAAAGTCAGGCCACTGTCTTTGGGGAACAACTATGGGAACGGGCAGTTCAAGTGCAGGCTTCCATCCCAGATGGTGGGAAGGGAGGAAGCAGACAGAGAAGGTTCTGGAAGGAAAAGCATGTGTGCACGGGGGGCAGACGGGCTTGGAGGGGTCGGTGTTTGTTTCTGCCTCTGCAGAATGTGCTCTCAGAAGGAGCAAGGGTCTCGGTAGAAGGGAGCATGGCTTCCAACATCCCCTCTGCCATGGTCTGCAGACTCTTGACTCTCCGGGACTCAGTTTCTCTGTGAAACGGGGAAAAGAGAACCCGCCAAGGCTTTACACAGTTGCTGTGGTTAATTCATTCAGTCATGCGCTGAGCCATGCTGGGGGCCGGTGGGTTTCGGACCCAGGGGAGTGGGGTCTCAGTCCACAGAAAACAGCTGTCGTTATCGGTTGACATTGTGCCTTTCAAGTCAAGCATGCGTCATGAACCAGGGCCTGGGAGGGATTTGGGACCAACATAAAGAACTTCATCACCAGAGGCAGTGAGCTTGCTGTCGATGGAGGAAACCAGGCGGCTGCTGGCTGACCTAACAATTACAATCCGAGGTGATAATAGCATATAGTGAGCACATGGAGGAAAGGCCCAGAGAGTGAGGGCAAAGTGACAAAGAGGTCAGCTGGGTGGGACTTTAACTCTACCCCAAAGTAATGGGATCTTGGGCAGACCTTCCAAGTCGTCAGGACGGCACGTAGGTTTGGCAGATGTGACCACAGCTGCCTGCAGGGCCCCCTGGAGGGAGGGGAGGGGGCCCTCTGGCTGAGGGAAGGGGGCCCCCAGTGGACTGGTGATGTCATCTGCCGCCATAGCGGGGGAGGGTGACAGGTGCGAGCCCTGTGCCGCAACCCGGCTGACCCTGAGGCAGTGTTCCCAGAGGGAAGGACTAACCCGCGCATTCCACTGGACTGCGGGGTCCTTGAAGGGGGAAGGGTCGTTTATTTTCACTGCTGGGTCCCCACCCCCAGCAGAGGAAGGGCTGGGCACACGTGAGGTCTTTGGAACCGGCGGCTGACCGCCTCGGGGCTCATGGTGTTTTGTGACAGAGTCGGAGTCGGAGCCTCGTGATGGTCAATTTTGTGTGTCTTCCCAGCTGCGCTCGGGGATGCCGGTTGGCTCGTGGAACACTCTCTGGCTGTGCGTGTGCGGGTGTCTCCGGAAGCGATCAGCACTTCAAGCGGTGGACGGAACGAAGCAGGGCTGTGCTCCCCGATGTGGGGGGCACCCCACAGTCCACCTCCACTGAGGGGGGAGGAAGGGCGGATTTGCTCTCTGCGCTTCAGCTGAGACATCCACCTTCTCCCGCCCGCAGACACGGGCGCTCCCGGCCCTCCGATCTTCCGACTCCGCCCGACCACCCTTCAGCTTTGCTGGGTCTCCAGCTCGCAGGTGGCAGATGGTGGGGCTCCTCGGCCTCCGTGACCTTGTGAGCGGATTCCTATGATAAAACTCCTCTTAGATGTGTCTCTATGTATCCTACCGGTTCTGTTCCTCTGGGGAGCCTTGACTGGTACCGACTTGGGCCTCTGCTCCTGGGCTGGGCGTCTTCCGCAGCACTGGCTCTGAGCCGACGGCAGGACTGGCTGGGAAGTCCCCGGCCTGCTTCCCGGGGACCTGCACAGAATTCGGGGTGCAGGGATTTTCCTTGAGCCCAGGATCGCCGGTCAGGCCGCCTGGTCCTCCGAGGTCAGCCTCTTTTGCCCCATCTGTAAAAGGGGTTCAGGCAGGAGGGTGATGGCATCTGTTTTTTACATGCCAGGATTTCTGCTGGTGACCTTCTCCCAACGTTGGCAGTGCACCCGCCGCGTGCACGGAGTTCCAGACTGTGCAAATCCTCAGGGACACCCGCAGGTAGAAAGCGCTGTAGGGGACAGAGCTGTGAGCCGGGCGTCGGGACCTGCATGCCCAGACGGCCTCCGTCCCTAACTCGCTGTGTGACCAAGAACGGGACCTATTTCTCTCTGGGCTCTGGTTTCCTGTGTTCTAACACACAGCCCTGGGCTCCATGGGGGCCGGGGCCCATTCTGGCTCTTGGCCACACGTGAGTCGCAGGCACGGTGGGACAGACCCCGCCTGTCTGGTGGGGGGGCTCTGGGCCTCTGTCTACCCAAACCTCCTCAGCCCGGCCTTGCAGCTCTGCCGGGACTGAGCGGCTGATGCCGCCCCTCCTGACGGGTCCTTCCCTTGGGGAGGGGACTCCAGCATAATCTGGCCGGCCTCCCTCCCCCTGCTCAGAGGAAGAGAGTTAATGCAGGAGGTCGGCTAGCGGGGACCCCACCTTCTTCTCTGGGTGCTCACGCTGGGGAGGCCTGGGGCTCAGTGTTTGGAGACCCACTGGCCAGCAGATAGAAGCCACGTTCTGCCAAATCAACTTCCCCAGCAATAAAGGGAATACTTTGGCTTCCCCTCTGCCAAGTGGTTTTCCTGATTCCTTCCCTGAGTCAGAACAGAGGGAGGAGCCGCCAGCCAGGCCCCTGCAAACGCCTGATCAGGTAGTTCCTTCTCATAACCTCCAGGTGGCTCCCTGCTGCTGCCGGGAGGAAGCGCACATCCTGGGAAGGCTGCCCCCCCCCCCCCCCCCCCC